ACGTCCTCCACAACTAGACTGAAGAACAAAACGACAGCAACTTGTCTGTTCCCCTTCCCCCAATTCCCCAATAAAAATCTTTAAAAAAAAAAAAAGGCAAGGTTTTGCTTTGCAATGCTTTGTGAATGGTACTTTAATATCTTTATGATACTGAATTGTTTGCATACTCCTGTGATAATGTTAATGCATTTGCATTAGCATTGGCTGTAAAAATCCTAACTTCCTGAGTTCTACTTCAGCCAAATAACATTATCTTATAATAAACTCAGTGGAGGACTAGCATTTAAGATTTTATGCTGATTGGCCCATTAACAGTTTTTAAGTCATTGATAAAGGATATATGTAAACAAAGCTAATGTCAAAAATGCATTCTAAAGCCAAGTTCTTTCTGTTAGGCTGTTGCTAGTGTGTTGAATTCTCTTGCTTCACTGCTTAAAGACAGCTGCTCTCGATGACCGCCCATTCACTTCCACAGACTAAATGGAAATTAAATATAAGAATTAAGAGAATGGACTCTGGCCTGTTGAAAACTAAGAGAGAACTAAGAGAGTGAGGCAAATAATGGGTGCTATGAGATGTTTTCTTTTAAAGATAGAAAGAGAAAGCAGGGGATGGGCCACTGACAGTTAGGAACTACTCAAAGAGGCCACTTTGACAACACTAAACTGACTTTTAAAAAACCTCTCATTTATGTATTCACCCATTTATCCAATACATCTCTATTAAATGCCTATTGTGTAAAAGACATGCTGTTGGACGTAGAAGACTAATTGGCTAAAGACCTTAAGTCAGTGGTTCTCAACCTGTGTGTCGCCTACGACCATCGGAAGACAAAAAGGTATTTACATTACGATTCATAACAATAGCAAAATTAGTTATAGAGTAGCAATGAAAATAACTTTATGGTTGGGGGTCACCACAACATGAGGAACTGTATTAAGGGGTCGCGGTGTTAGGAAGGTTGACAACTGCTGCCTGAAGTACTTCGTAATTGACTATTGATACAGACATGTTTTCTAATTACTGTTACACTAGTGTCACGAGATGAACCAAGCGTTAATGGGTGTGTGTGTAAAATAGCTGCTGAATGATTTTGAAGAAGTCTTACAAGTTAGTAAAAAAATAACATATAAGGTAGCAAGGAATTGCCCTTATTTTTCTGCTATACCTTTTAGTGCTGCCAAACCTCTTTGCACTTCTCCTAACATTCCAGTCTACCTAAAATCTAGAACATTAATAGCTTCAGACTTTGTTTCTTGCCTCATTTTCAGAATGAGAAAACATCTAGATTAAGTTCCACATGACATGTCTGCGAATAGAGCTAGTTTAATGGAAGAACTGGAGCAGAAACCATTCTCCTGAATACAAACCAAAGATTATGCCATTTTCCTCATCCGGCTGCTTACAAGTCCTCCCAACCTGAGGCTTGGCTTAATCATTTTAAAATATAAAGGTTAAGGCAGAGTCTTACTATGAAAATTAAAGGATCAGTAGGACAAAATCCTTTTTATATAAAAGATAATAAAAATATCTTGATATTAACAATTACTTCTACTTTGCACTAATTTCAAGTAAAAAATTAGAAAGGTGACTTATGGACTTATACTTCTTTATAGGTGGAAAAGGGCTAAAAGTTGTATCAACACAGAAACTTAATTATTTACTGATATTGTCAGCTGAGATAGTGGAATTCATCAAATACTGACTTATTTGAGAAAATCCTGGGTGGACCCTATACCATCTGTACCTAATAACTTTGTTGAGGACTCTACAACATGTTATATGAGGAATCTGTAACATGATGCTGTTTTTGGGTAATACAATATCTCAGTTTCCAATTCTTAAGAGAAAGAAGACCAAGCCGACCAAATGGCATGTTGGTTAAGAGTTGGCTTGGGACACCAGTTCTGAGCAGCAGGGCCCCGGTTCGGATCCCACATGAGGACCAGTGATGCTGCGCCTTCTACAGCTAAGATGGTGAACAACTGCTCGACCTGGGGCTGGGCTACCATCAGTTGCCGGCAGTGGTGTAGGCTGCAGTGCGGCTGGCCAGCAGCTGCCGTGAGCCGCTGTCCAATGGCCAGTGAGTGACTGCCTCACCCAGGAAGAGCGCAATGATCACAATACCAACATGGGCCAGTGAAGCGATGTCCTCCACAACTAGACTGAAGAACAAAAGGACAGCAACTTGTCTGTTCCCCTCCCCCAATTCCCCAATTAAAAAAAAACAAACCAAAAAACCAAACCCCAAAACATTCTGATTTTGTTGTTTAAAAAACTGTTTTCATTTTAATGATCTGAGTTAGTAACAAACAAATATACAAAATTGTCTTTCACATTTCCATACATTGTATTATGGACCACTTAAAACTCTGGACTACAAATGCAGGTTTCATTGTATCCTTAACCTCAATTGTCACTTATAAATAAAGGTGATTTGCAAAAACATGCATTTGTGAACACAGATGCGAAAAGTTGCACATGTAAATTAATGCACAACCAATAGTGTACATTGTTCATTTGTGCAGTTTATGTGTCAAGTACAACTGACACAGAAGCAGTCATCCTGGGATATTTCACTCTATTTAAAAAACATTTTTGAGAAACAGATGGAACTACAGTTTAAAACAAAATTATATCCTACAAATACAATACAATTCACAACTTGTACATCTGAAGAAACTTTGGGGATCCAAAGCTGATTCAATAACCCTGCTCCAATAGGTTTTATTGGGTACATCTCCAAAGTCATAGGTTGGAAATAGCTGCTGTGATGAAATAAGTAGTGAAAGGAAAGTGAGACTTTAAAAAATGTGAGGAAAGCTTTGAAAATAGTAATAATATATGAGTCATCTATAATTTTTGTTTTTAAATTTTAGAAATTTAAAGGTAATCTGAACATTTTCTAAGCCATTTTAAATTAAGAATTTTTTTTCATCTTACCAATGTTTTCTATTTGATAGTATAATTGAAAATCGGCAGTTTCTATTGTTGACTTACTACAATTTATAAATTATAAATTTATGACTTTAGAGGATCACTGGATTCTCATGTAAAGGAAAACAAAGAGGCATTTCTACAGCCATTAATCTGAACTAGAAATAAACACCAACACAATGATTTTGTATATTAAATTGTTTCCAGATATTTATAGGTAGAAAAATCTAATTTTTCTTAAAAACATTTTCCTGGGTTGTGGCAACATGTGCTTTACCTCCTTAACTCAATCTACAACCTAAAGTTATTTTTATATTCTACATTTCAGACTCCCTGGCAAGGAATGTGAATGCTAACCAGCTAGGTATTTATTCAACTTCGTATTCATAAAGAATGGACTTAGGTATGGTTGTCATAATATTTGTCCCACTTTCCTCTGAGGCCCAAGTTTGATGTCCTTGCCTATGCTATATGGATCAAATGAGAGAAGATGGCGCAAAACAATTGGGTCTCCTCCAGGCAGTATTATAGGCTTGGCCTCTGGTATTATAAAAACACTTGCTTTATTAAAATGAATACAATTGCAAATAGTTTGAGGACAGCTGCAGTTGAAAAGGAAATGGGTGGTTTTCTGCAGGAAACATCCCTGTTTTCCACAGGCCTTGTCATGAAGAAAATGTGGCTTGTGATTTCAAACACATACTTCAAGAGATACCTAAATGCAAGTCGGCTTTTTAAAATATTTAAACCATCAATGATTCAGGCAAGTAAGCTGGGGGAGTAATGTAAAGACATATACTTATAATACATTAGGAGATGTAGTTATCTACTCTGTACTTTGGAAATGAAAAAAAAACACACCAAAAAAACAATTCTGTCCAGAGTGAATATCAGAAAGACATATGGCTGCTTCCTACTCTTCTATACTTAGCAAAATTAATTTTATGATGCTCTCACTGCTGATATTCTCTTATTTGAGTTAGGCAAAATAAATCTAATAGGTTACTTTTGTGTTCAAAGTAAGCTGCCTAAACAGTTTTTTAAAAAAACTTTCATAAATGGGGCATTTAACACTTGAGAGAAATTTCGATTATTGACTATCTGGTCTAATAGCAGGTACAAAGATTGTTGAATTAAGAATTATTGCTTTTAAAAAGATAACCATCAGAAATAAATATGTAAGCTTAACTCAAATACTCATTTTTCACTCAATGCTACAATGTCTTATTTTCAAATCAAGTCACATTACCGTCAATTATTTGCCAGTTTATTGAAGTTTTTAATTATAAGAAGTTGGCCTGTTAACTCAAAATCGAAACAATAGCAATAGCCACACAAGCATGTCTTATTTGGGCATTGAGCAGTAACACTGCTGCTTTCTTATAGGACTTAAGGCACTAAATGGTGGTAAAATAAACAAAAGTAAGATGATTAACAACTTCTTTAGAATCCTAAAAAAGGAGATCATTTAGAAGGACATTAGGTAAATCTTTTTCTCAAACAAATAAGGCATCCTGTTGGCAAACACAAATAAAACACAAGGTCATGTGGAACCTAATACATTCACTGTCTCCACTACACTACTCGACACACTAGCTGGCAAACTAAAGCAAGCTACAATAGCATGTACACAGGTAGGAAAGGCACCAAAAGGAGAGCTCGACCACTTCCAGTTCTGAGCATCAGGTAAGCTGTGTTTAGCACTGCATGCAGTCTAATTATAAATTTTATCCTTTAAAATTGTATAATGTGGCTAGATTTTTGTTTCAACAAATCAGTTAATCAAGTGCTAGTTTAGTAAGAAATTTATTTTCATGAATCAGGAAATTACTGCAGTGTCTAACACAACCCCATTTATAAAGCTAAACTAAGTCTAGTACTGAATGTATATTCTGGATAACACTGAAACAAATCTGTATAAACAAAAATGGTTACCTCAAGATAGAATTCACAATAGAAATTCAATATATAACTAAATAAGATTTACTGAAAATAATGAAAAGTGTAGTACAGATACATCAAACATAATTATAACCACAAAATTTTCCTTGTGAAAAATACAACTATTAGTGAAAATGTACAATTGAAAATTTTTCCAAAGGAAAAACAGTATAAAGGAAAATACTTTTCTTTGAGATAGGGAAAATAGTATGTCATTGTTTTTTTCATCACAATATAATTTGACACAAAAAGCAGTCATAGAATTGCACCAATTCCACATCCAGTTTCCTGAACATGTTAAGAGTAAAAGAAATTCATAAAGCAGAATGCAGTTTCAGAATTTTATATTTTAAATTGATGATATTCTTATACAGAATGTTACAGCACACCAGATCTGTTTACATAATGTACAGTACTTTCCGTTTTGTGGCCAGACATGAAAACAAGCATGATTTCTGCCACCTTTCTTTCATTCTGGTGTTTAGTCAAAGGAAAAAATAATCAAGCTACTTAAGTGTTCTCTCTCTAGCAATAAAAAAAAATTATATTTAGTGCATGCTTCATCATTTGTCAAAAAACATTTCTGAAAATAAAACTCAGTTACCCAATGGTTTACAAAATAGAAAAATCACTCATTAGGATAAAAATGTGGTGGGATTTAGGTCCATTTCCGGACTGACTTCCTTGGCAGCACCACTGTCCTTTAGCAGAGGTCAGGATGCAAATTCCATGGTCAAGGCAGGTGTGCCTGCGGAGACCACTGCTGGACATTTGATTATGATTATCTGAGGCCCTCAACCCTCTTTGATCACCCTCCCTCCACCATTTCATTAGTGCTATAAAACAGATGGCATTTTTGTGGAAATGTTAGGAACATTTCTGCTGTACATGATTTAGAAGTTCTCCAAATTTTTCAAATAGGTCTTCCACCCATTTCACATTTTTCATACAAAGTTGAACAATTTCTTCCTGTCCTAAATCTTCATTTTTTTTCTGCACAGAAGAAATCTAAAAATAAAGAGAATTGCCACATTAGCTTATACTTATCACTTTATAAGTTCTTCATAAGGGCTTACTGTTTCTATATCCTGAGTGAAAAGAGGGTTTAGTAATTCACCTACAAATACTGATCTTTTCTCTTTCAAAATCTATCCATGGAGAATGATTATTTCATATGAATTTGTGTGAAGTCTAATCCTATCATTTTTGACTCTATGGGGTCAGGGAAGCTGGCAAAGGAAAGTGGTTCAAATTTTCTCAATTCCTTTCAATTGTGTTAAAAGCAAAATGACAAATTTTGGAGTAAATTCTTTTCAGAGCATTGTAAAAATAATCAACATTTTTGCACGACCATCTTTACTTTCTTCTTTGCTAAATAGGTTAGATTTATGAACATCTTTCCATAACAGACCATATCAAATACATCAGCTATAACTTTGATCCAATTTAACCCTTTTTAATTAAAAAGACTGATAGTGCTACCAAAAAAAGGTAGTACTGTCTACAGCCATTTAAACTCTGAGGAAATCAATCCTTTTATCCCATCCACAAAGTGGTATTACTGTCATACATAATTTTTGAGCAACTTGTGATACTTAAAAGCTACGATTACATTTTAACCATCATTTCTTCATGCCAGGGCACAATAGCCCCATTACTCTGAAATTAGGTGGGATAGGGCCAGCTTAGTGATAAGGAAGACAGGGAGATACCAAAGCAGTGACCAAAGAGAATTATGAGAGAAGAAAATACAATAAAGTACCATTTATTATGGTAACATAAAGCAAGCACTAACAGCTTTAAAACATTACCACTTATAGCTCTGAAAGGTGGTGAGCCTCAAATTAATCTGAGCACAACACATAACAGAGGCTCAGAACAATAAATTTTTTAGTCATACAGGTCAATACAGACATATACTGGGTTGTCGGAAGTCATGATGCATTTTTGCAGTGAAAAACATACAAAAAAATGTCATGACTTTTCCAACAACCCAATATTTTTAAACAATTCTCTTTAAAACATTAAATATACAGTCTCCTTGAAGTTTGGAAAAATATACATTTCTCTTTTAAATAAATGAAAAAATAATTACCTCATCTTTACATATCAGATAAACATGATATTTATAATGATGGAGTGAATGATACAAAGAATATAATTGTATTTTCTCTGGATCAACAGCAAACTCCTATAAAAAGAAAAGAATTTATAGATATATGTCTTTCATGGAGCATCTGAGCTAAGAACACTTTTATGAGAATAGTAGACCAAAAGTCTCAATGGAAATCTTAAAAGTGACTTGTATGGCTGGATATTGGCTCTATTAATAAACTATTAACAAGAGGCTTATTCAAAACAAGAATTTAAATTGTATTTTAGAATATTCATTTTCTAAATATACACTATTTCAAAATACTTAAATATTATAGAAAAATTTAAACAGTAAACATATGATTTATAAAGTAAAAAAAATCCTTTAATCTCTTCCTTCAGAGATAAACAGGGTTAACAGAATGTTATATATTCTTCCATGTTTCCTCCTGTAACATATATTAACATTAATTTTGTAATGGAAGGGAATCATACTATACATATTGTTCTGCAATTATATTTTTTATAACTTGTTTTTTTACCTAACTAAAACTTGGATATCTTTCTATTTATAGCAAATACCATTACCCACTATAAATTATATGAGTGTAGGGATTTTTGACTATTTTTCACAGATGTATTCCTAGTATTTAGAACTGTATTTGGCACACTATATGCACTAATTTTTTTTTATTGAATCAATGAATGTATCTTTTCTTTTTAAAAAGTGCATAGTATTACATGATCTGGGTGGCTCTTTATCCAGTCTCACAATGATGATACATAACTGGATTGTTCTTATAAACAATTCTGCAATGAGCAAAGGCATATGCTTTTATGCATGTTTGAATGTGCTTCTACAAAATACAATTTTCTGTATTGATAAAGAATTGACATGTTGCTAAACAGTTTTCTGAAAAGGCAATAATTTAGACTATCTTAAAAAATGAATGAATTCCAATTCTAATAATTTTGCAGGTACGTAATCAATATTGAATCTTATGGAATGTGTGCACACTCATTTATATGTGTATGCATTTGTATCCAATGACAAAAAAGCTATATAAAAAATATAAATACAAGCATGGGATAATTCCTTGCTTATAAGCCTATTAAAATTTGTGAGCACTCACTATATGCCAGATACTGTTCTAGGCAATGAAGAAAAACAAAGATAATGACGGAATCCCTGCTCCTTAGGCCAGAGCTGCTCATTCCTACCTGAAAAAAACTTCACATTTAATAGTTAAATATTTGCTTGTTTCAATGTTTTAAGTAGGAATTATATTAACTGGAAGAGGTATAATTACATCAATCAATATATACTTACTTGTGCAGATTTAGTGGTTGTTTTGGAAGTCCTTAGAGTTTTCTTATTATAAGCTTTGCCATTCATTTTGATTTTAGAAATAGATCCCCCACTTTTTGCTTTAGAGTCTCGAGTAATTATTGTTAGTTCAGGAAAACTTTCCAAAGCATTCTTTAAAATAAAGCAAAAATAATTGATATAAGAAAACTAATCTAAACTACTTCCAGCTATTCAAATTTTATTTTAAAAATATAGAAATGTATACACACATGTACATATACACACAAATATATGTGGGGGGTACTGATGGGGTGTGGTAAATATAAACAATATACATGTAGGATGTTAAACATGTCCAAATTCTTTGTAGCTCCTCCCATCAAGATGTGGAATCTAACCAGACTTATTGTGGTAATCATTTTGTAATACATACAAATATTGAATCATGTTGTACACCTGACAATTGTATGTCAATTATACCTCAATGGAAAAAAAAATGTGGAATCTATTTTCCCATCCTTTGAATTTGGGCCAACCTTATGACCTGCTTTAAACAACAGCACATGACACTGTGGGGACTCCTGAATGAGGTAGAGTTCTTTGTAGTGATGCCTTTCTAGTTTCAAAGTAGGGAAAAAGGGAGCATGATACAGATGTTCTTCAACTTATGATGGGGTTATGTCCTGATAAACCCATGGTAAACTGAAAATATCCTAAGTTGAAAATGCATTTAATACTACACTATAGAGTATCGTTGTCTATCTCTATCCTCATGATTGCATAGCTGACTGGGAGCTGTGGTTGCCGCCACTGCCTACCATCATAAGAGAGCATCATACTGCATACGTTAGTTTGGAAAAGGTCAAAATTCAAAACTTGAAGTACAGTTTCTACTGAATACTTATCATTTTTTTCAACCATCTTAAAGTCTAGAAATTGTTAAGTCAAACAATGGAAGTTGGGGACCATCTGTGTAAGTTTCTTCAAAGCTCCACCAATTAAAACACTGCCAGCACCCTGAAACCTGGCGAAGCCCTGCTCTAAAGAATTATCTGATCCTGGCTCAGGATGAGAACAGAGGAAAACAGGAAGCATTGTAACATTCCTCTGGCTTCACCACTTCTCTTGCTAATTTTGACTATAGGAATAGCAGTTGTGAATTAAGAGTGTAAAACACAGTTTGTTGAATTTTCTGATCACAATGACATTGTAGATACCACTGATAATTTAGTGGTCATGTGGCTGAACCAATTTCAGTCCATTCTTTAAAAGCCACGCATATTTATGCCCTTATATACTCGGCAAGTCATTCTGACATGAAAAGCTACAAACAATAATTGAATGATAGTTGTAGCTAAATTTAACTAGGTTGAACGTTTTAAAAAATTGAGTTACTACTAACATATAATACTTCCATACTAAAAGGGTTCAAGTGCTCCCATTGTATTTATTTTTCCACATTATATTTATTATTCAGAGTATAGTTCTCATTTGATAAGCTTAACTGTTTAATAAATAGTTACAACCTGCAAGGCCACCCTTTTCCAAACCCCGTATGTGATCCCAAGCACCTAGTATTGGGATCCCCAAAACAGTGCACTTTTTGTTTGTTTTTTTATTTTTATTTTTTAGCTGAGCCATCCTGCTACCTGTTGGCAGCTCAGCTCGGGCTGGGAATCGAACTGGCAACCTGTTTCTCAAAGCTCGCACTCTTGAGCGAGCTCTTAACCAACTGAGCCACTTGGCCGGCCCCTAAATAGTGCATTTTTAAACAAATAACTTAATATTTTTGGATGTAAGTGTAGGAGGGAACTAAGTTTCATTTAATAGAAACAATAGAATATTTGGCATTTCCTACCAGAGGGAGCTGTCTTTTAATATCTAGCTTCATTCTCTTAGATTATTTGTGCTTTTATTATATACTTTGGTACTTTTCATATAAACATGCCCAGGCTTGAAAAATTCTGGACCCAGAATCACTTTTTACAAAAAATGGATTCTACATTTGGAAACAACAAATACTAGCTTAATGAAGATGAAAGGAGAAAATTTAAATGATCTTTCTAATAAGCATAAGATGTTAAAGATGAATGGACATACACAGATTTCAGAGGAAAATAGAACATCATTTACTTCAAAAGGCTTTAGGATTTCTAAAATTACCAAGGTCACCATAGGAAGTGGTGCTAATTATTTCTAAATAGAAAATATTTCATAATCTGTGTGTAATATTTTACATCAAATAATTCTAAGTTTTAGTACTGTGTATTTCGGCTTTGCAATACAAATCGCAATAAATGAAAATTATCAAAATAACTATCTTGAAAATTATAAATTTTGCTTTTTCTGTGTGAAAATGAGAACATGAAAAAATTTTCACTTGTTCATCATAAACTGAAAAAAATATCTATTGAGTCTATTGAATATCTATTGAGTCTATTAAGTTCCAAGACTGGTCCTTATTAAAATTTAATATATCTAGAAAACACACATCTAATGACATTCTCTTATCTTTAGAAAACATGGTATTTCCCAAAGGAATATTTCATTTGACGACAGCAGTTAAATGGAAAATACATGACTAGGAGTCAGTAGACCAAATTCTTAAATGGGCTTCTTAACTAGCTTCTGACTTTTTTCTCTGCAAGTGCATGTCAATGAAGAGTGTAGGACTACAAGTAGAGTTTGTGTTATTAATATTTAACTTCAAACTCAATCTCAGAGGCTTAATATTTCACCTAGCTAAAATGAAGTCAGTTTTCACTTTTATGGGGAGTTCAGATAAAGTAGGAAGGTGAAAAAGCTATACAAATTACCCGAAGAAAATGAAAACTTATATCCATATAAAAACATGCACACATGGATGTTTATAGCAGCTTTTTTGGTAACTGCCAGGATTAGGAAGCAACCAAGCTGTTCTTCAGTAGGTGAATGGATAAACTGTGGTATATTCAAACCATGGAATATTATTCAGTGCTAAAAAGAAATGAGCTATCAAGCTATGAAAAGACACGGCAGAACCTTAAATGCATATTATAAGCGAAAGAAGCCAATCTTAAAAGGTTACATACTGTATGGTTTCAACTATATGACATTCTGGGAAAGGTAAAATGATGGATACAGTAAAAATATCAGTGGTTGGCAGAGGTTGGGGGGAGGGATGGATGAATAGAGCACAGAGGATTTTTAGTTCAGTGAACTAATGATAATAGTGGATACATGTCATTATACATTTGTCCAAACCTATAGAATGTACAACACCAAGAGTGAGCCATAAAGTAAACTATGGACTTTGGGTGTTAATGATGGGTCAGTGTAGGTTCACTGACAGTGAGAAACGTCCCACTCTGGTGAGAGATGTTGATAGGAGAGGTTGTTCATGTGGGGATGGGGCATATGGGAAAGTCTCTGTACTTTCTGCTCAATTTTGCTGTGAACCTAAAACTTCTCTAAAAAATAAACTCTGTTCATATATATAAAAAACTATACAATATATAAAAAAACTTCTCCCAAGGTAGATAGACTCAAATGATTCTAGATGTTGTATGTTACACTCTGAGTAAGAAAAGCTGGCAATTTTCTGACTACTAAGCAGCTTCTTGATACATTTTCTGAGTTTGGATTAGTTTAATGTTCTTTATTTCTGGTAACACCAAAAACAATATAGTGCCAAAATATATTAACATATATAATTATATGTATTTCCTACCATTATGTGAGGGTTTTTTCTTCAGACATTGGGTAAATCAGGCAAGTAAAGGGAATTTTGATAACTGTGCTAAGAGGAGGCCAATTCTAATTATAGATGAAATGTGAAATTTTTGATAAGATTTAAAAGTAAAAGATTGGAATATAGTGATAGTTGAAAGGAAGTACTTTTGAAAACATTTGGGAATTATTATATAGAAGAAATACTAGGGGAATATGAAAGCCTAAAAAATGAATTTAAGCAGAAAAAAGCAAATGATTAACACTAAGAATGTGCTTAATAAAATAAAAAGAATCTAAACAGACTCATAATGAATAAAAATCAAATTTTTATTGGGTAGAAAAATTTTATAAAATGGAGATGACTTTCATAACTTCTCCTTCCTATTCTATTTAAGACTATGAGTACCACTGCATTTCTAGTAAATCATCTGAGGGAAATACCTTGAATGACTGATCCAAATGAAGATTCAAAAGAAGTCTCTTTCGGTTATCATTCAGCATGCTATCTATTTTTTTCATATGAGGCAAAAGCAGCTCATCTAAAACAAGATAAAAATGTATTGTAACAGCTTAAACTATCAGCACAACGACTTCTTCAAAATCCAACTTTTTCTCAAGACATTACTATATTAAGACATTAAATTCACTGGCTTATGTAAAGTATTGGTATTAAAATATTGGACATACGGCTTTCTGAATAAAAGTAACTTGAAAAATAGTTTTACAATAGCCAAATGAGAAAGAAGCAGTGTAGTGTGAGAGGATCAAAAGTTGAACTCTGTCTCTGTCACCAGAATTGACTGATGGGAGTAATGTGACCAGTGGGCAAGCTGCCTAATTTCTCCAGACGCATTTACCATCTGAACAATACTGGTATTATAACATACAAACTTATCCAACATTATAAAATGTTATAAAATACTGACTATGATTTTCTTAATTCACTGTAGTTTGCAGCAAAGAAAAAGGGGAAGAAATATGATCAAAATCCAGTTTCAAAAACACATGGGAAGAGTCAACAGAGTTATTTTAGAAAATGGGAAAGTAAAAGTATAATAAAGATTCCTACCCAAAACTTTTTTCTTCCTTTTTCAGTCCTCTGAAACTTTAAGCTCTTTTAAGAAAAGCACTTTCAGAGTATAAGTTAATTATTTTTGGTGCTGTATTAAATATTTTAGGTTACTAGCCGATTTCTTAATTTATCAGTATAACATATTTTATAACACTATTACCATTTAATGACTTTTCAGAAAATATATAGATAATTTTCAGAATCTAGTTACTAATTTCAGAGCTGAATAAAATGACCCTTTATGTAACTGGAATACAAACACAAGTACAGTGACCAGTGAAAAAATACTTCCTCTAATTGAAGAAAAAGTCCTCAGTGGGAACACTTTCTAAGGTCACTATAACACACCTGATAGTTTTCTTTCTAGTAGCGACTAGTCAAATACTATAAGAATTTACATTTCATAAAAACAAGTTTTAAACAGTGTGGATTATTTTTAAATATAACCATTAAAATCTTTTCCCTTTATATTAAATGGAGAAAAGTCAGAAAACAATGATAAGCAATAGAGAAAAAATTATTTAAAATACAACTATCCAGAAATGACCACTACTAGGAGATATATATTTAATAGTGCAAGGAGTTGTGATTGAGAGAGAAAACATTTAATGGCAAAAAATGCTGACCTGGGAAATGAACTATTTGGTTTTTAATTATGGTTCTTCTACCACTAACTTGTTCTATAACTTTAGGAAATACATTTACTCTCTTTCAACTTTAGTCTACAAAATAAATGTTTTAGATTAGATAATCTCTAATGTCTCTTCTAGCTCTACATGACTTTAAAATGACTGATATATGTATTATTGTCTGATTATATAGTCAAAAAAGCAATGGACCAGAAATTAGAAGACCTTGGATTTTAATTCGTTTTCTGTTAACTTGCAAATTGTGGGCTTTTAGGCAAGTCACTTGAACTTTGAGCCTGTCTTCACCACAAAATGGATGTCTGAATTGTTTGGGGACTGAAATAGCATAACATATGTGGAAATAATAAAACAATGTATTATTAGGCATTGCCACTGAAATATATGGTTACTATCATTTGATTTGACACCTGTACAACTCATTTTGATATAAGAAGGGTAATGAAAACAGACTCATTAACCCTTTCATTCCTTCTTTTAGTTGTCCCTGGTGAATATTAAAGTGGCTAAAGGCTAACTATTAGTGAACAACTAATTAGATACATGAATTACCAGCTTATTTCATATTATCAATTCCATCCCTATTTTTCTACAAGAAAAAATTACTAAAGGAAGAGTATAAAGGAATATTCATGAATATAATCTAATACATATAGTGTTACTATTAATTAATTAGAAAATAATTACTCTGTGATGTATCTTTTACTGGACACAAATATACAGTTTTAATCTTTATACCATTATTATCTGATTCATCTTTCCAGTTATTAGAAAACAGAATATATCGACATCTGTACCTTTCATGTAATAAACACACAGTAAAATAGTATGAGGATGAAAATGATTCTAGAATTGAAAGAAACTATTGGGTAGTTGCATAATTTTCCCATGAGTAGAAATCAATAAAAATACATTCAGTTATAAAGTTGACCAAATGTTCAGACAATTCATGAAGATATGACCATTTTATAGAACATATATATGTTTATCATGACTTTGTTAACTGACAATGTATAGATATATATTACAGACACTATATACCACACATGTAACTAAAAGACAAGAATAAAAAAGATCCAGAAAGTACTACCAACAAAGTACTACTTAGTGGACTGTACCATTGCTCTTCTCTAAGGCTTGCATTGTGTCAGGGTCCAAAGCAATGCTAACAAGCAATTCCATGTAACTCTTAAAGGTTTCCTTCATTGCTCTTGTGTTCAAAAAACGAGTGACAAAGGGAGCTGGAGGATCAAATTCTGAGAGGGAGAAAAGATGAAATATTAAATATTCTTTCCTGACAGCTTTAAAAACACATTTCTCTATAACAAGAGCCTATGAGTAGATGGAAGTTTATAGATATAATTTCTCAAATTAAGATTCTCCCACTTTGCCTTTAGAAACACCTTGGGTAAGAGATTCTCAAAGCTGGTTTGCACATCACAAAAATCACTGGAGAGTTTTTAAAACAAAACAAAAAAAATGAAGTTGCTGTACTTATTAAAACAGAATCTTGGGTGGGCTGGGAGTAGTGGCAATGAACCTCAAATATCATACTCGGAAGGTGTCTCTGGAGACCAACACCAGCCAGCATTTGGAAACATGAGTCTCATAGGAAACTGTTTCTCCCCCCAGGACCCCGCCACAGACATCTGCTGCTAGGGCTGCTACTCTGGAACAATGGTTTCTCTATTTTTAGGTAGCAAAGAAACTAGAAGACATCCAATGTGTGAGGTAGTAGATATCTCATCTTTTTATTTAAATTACTGTAAAATTCTGGTCTAGAGCCACATGTTGAAAAGTTTTGACTTTTTTTTTCATTAAATTATGTAACTATTATAACTGTCAACAACAGTTCTTACAGTATGGTCCAAGGACTCCAAGACCCTTTTCAAGGTTCTCTGATGTCAGAAGTTTTTTCATAACATTAAAATGTTATATACCTTTTTACTCTGTTGACATGGTAAAAGTAATGTTGGGTAAAACTGCTGATGGTTTACATAGCACGAATCAAGGCAGTGACACCAAACTGTACTAGTAGCCATATAATTTGCTGTGACTTTGTCATCATCTCACTGCCATGAATTTGAAGGGAAAAGAAAAGGTAGTTTCACATAATAGTCTTTAATAAAGCAGCAGAAATTATTAATTGTAATAAATATTTTCTCGAGTAAATGTCTAATATTCAGTGTGATGAAATGAGAGGTACACACAAAGCACTTCCGCTATGAAGTATGATGGTTATCTCCAGGAAGACCATCCATGCAATTGTTTGAGTTACAAGATAAACTAGACACTTTTCCCCCTATGGGACACCATTTTTATTTGAAAGAATGACTGACAGACACACTATGCCTATTTAGATGTGGGTATTTGGCAGACTTTTTTTTAGGAATTAATGAAGTGACTGTGTCACAGAATGGAAAACAATTGACTGTATGTGTTGCCAATGATAAAATTTGAGGTTTCAAGTGAAAATCAGAATTCTGGACAACTTATATCCACTACTCTGAGCTTGACAGTGTCCCAATACTTAAAGACTTCATCAATGACAAGAGTAGTGGTATTAATAAATGTAATTTTTGACACTACAAAAATGTATGACCTAAAATAAATGTAAGAGCTACAGCCATAAAACTTTTATAAGAAAATATATGAGGGCCGGCCAAGTGGCGCATTGGTTAAGAATTGGCTTGGGGGCCGGCCGAGTGGCGCAATGGTTAAGAACTCGCTTGGGATGCCAGAGGGCCCCGGTTCGGATCCCACACTAAGATGGTGAACAACAGCTCGACCTGGAGCTGGGCTGCCCTGAGTCGCCGGCGACTGCATAGACTGCAGTGAAGCTGCAGTGAGCTGCCATAAGCTACCGTGTGTGGCCAGCAGCCAGCGTGAGCGGCCAGCAGCCGCAGTGAGCGGCCGTCCAGAAGCCGGCGACTGATCTGCCTCGCCAGAGAAGAGCGCAATGATGGTACCAACAAGGGCCAGTGAAGCAACGTCCTCCACAACTAGACTGAAGAACAAAAGGACAGCAACTTGTCTGTTCCCCTTTCCCCAATTCCCCAGCACTGTTCCCATCCCCCCAATTTCCCAATAAAAAAATCTTAAAAAAAAAAAAAAAAAAGAATTGGCTTGGGACGCCAGCTCTGAGCAGCAGGGCCCGGGTTCGGATCCCACATGAGGGCCAGTGACGCTGCCCTCTACAGCTAAGATGGTGAACAACAGCTCGACCTGGAGCTGGGCTGCCCTGAGTCGCCGGCGACTGCATAGACTGCAGTGAAGCTGCAGTGAGCTGCCATAAGCTACCGTGTGTGGCCAGCAGCCAGCGTGAGTGGCTGGTAGCCGATGTGAGCTGCCAAGAGCCACCATGGGCGGCCGTCCAGTGGCCGGTGACGGATCTGCCTCACCTGGGAAGAGCGCAATGATAATACCAACAAGGGCCAGTGAAGCAACGTCCTCCACAACTAGACTGAAGAACAAAAGGACAGCAACTTGTCTGTTCCCCTTCCCCGAATTCCCAACGCTGTTCCCCAATTCCCCAATAAAAATCTTTAAAAAAAAAAAAAAGAAAATATATGATACCAAAAGCACGATCTAGTGTATAAAAGAAAAAATAGATAAATTCGGCTTCATCAAAATTTCAAACGTTTGTGCATCAAAACACATTATCAAGAAAGTGAAATGTCAACCTGCAGAGCGAAGAAAGTATTTTCAAATCATATATCTGATAAGGGTTTAATACCCAGAATATATAAAGAATTACAACTCAAGAACAAAAGGAGAAACGATCCAATTAAAAAGTGGGCAAATGGGGCCAGCTGAGTGGCTCAGTTGGTTAAGAGCTCGCTCAAGAGTTTGAATTCTGAGCAACAGCAGTTCGATGCCCGGCCCGAGCTGACCTGCCGCTGAGCTGCCAAAAAGTGGCAGGATGGCTCAGCTAAAAAATATGTATATATGCCATTTTAAAATAATTTATGGCTCAGCTAAAAAAAAAAAAAAAAGTGGGCAAAGGGGCTAGCCGAGTGGCTCAGTTGGTTAACAGCAAGAGCTCTGAGCAACAAGGTTGCCGGTTTGATTCCCCCATGGGCCAGTGAGCTGCACCTGAGCTGAGCTGCCACTGAGCTGCCAATAGGCAGGATAGCTCAGCTGGTGAGAGCACGTGCTCCTAACAAGGTTGCCGGTTCGACTCCCGCATGGGATGGTGGGCTATGCCCACCACAACTAAGATTGAACACGGCACCTCCTTGAGCTGAGTGGCCACGAGCTGCTGCCAGGTGGCTGGATGGCTACTGGACTTGGAGCTGAGCTAGCTGCGCCCTCTACAACTAAGATTGAAGGACAACAACTTGGCTGTTCCCCATCCCCAATTCCCCAATAAAAAAGTCTTAATAAAAGAAAAAAAGTGAGCAAAGGATTTATAGACATTTCTCCAAAGAAGATAAGCAAATGGCCAGTAAGTACAAAAAGATGCTAAATATCATTAGTTGTTACAGAAATACAAATCAAAACCACAATGTGATACCACTTCACACGTACAAGGATGGCTATAATAAGAAAAACAAGATTTGCTGAGGATGTGAAGAAATTGGAACCTCCATGTACTGCTGGTAGGAATGTAAGATGGTGTAAGCATGATGCAAAACAGTTTGGTGGTTCCTCAAAAAGCTAAACATACAAGTATCGTATGACTGACTCAGCAATTCCACTCCTAGGTATATACCCCAAAGAATTGAAAACAAGGACATAAACAGGTATTGTATGCCAATGTTCACTGCAGCATTATTTACAATAGCCAAAAGGTGGAAACAACCCAAGTATCCATCAATATCTGAAAAGATGAACAAAATGAACACACAATGGATAAACTTATAATGGAATACTATTCAGCCATAAAAAAGAATGAAGTTCTAATATATGCTATAACATGGATAAACCTTGGCACCATTATGCTAAATGAAATAAGCTATATACACTTATGTGAGATATTTAGAGTAGGCAATTCATGAAGACAGAAAGTAGGTAAGAGATTACTAGCAGATGGGGGAAGGGAATAAAGAGGAGTTATTGCTTAATAGTTATAAAGTTTCTGTTTGTGGTAATGAAAAAGTTTTGACAGTTGTGATAGTTGCACTACAATGTGAATATAATTAATGCTACTGAATCGTACACTTAAAATGGTTAATATAAAACAACTTTTTAAAACATAAAAAGAAATAGAATATGTACATCAATGAACAAACAAATATTTTCACATGACCAATGAGTAATGTTATGAAATCATTCATGGATGAATAATACATTCAAAGGGCAAGACAAACCCATAGATTTTAATGTAACATGCATGAAAAGTTGAAGAAACTCACTTGTCAAGTTTATCAAATAAAAAACTTTGAGTATCAAATAAAAATATCCATAACTATCTGAAAAGGTAATTAAAGTACTCTTCCTTTCCCAATTACATATCTATGTAAGGCTGGGGTTTCTTTATATATTTTAACCAAGGGCCGGCCGAGTGGCGCGATGGTTGGGAACTGGCTTGGGATGCCACAGGGCCCCGGTTCGGATCCCACATGTGAGGGCCAGTGACACTGCCCTCTACAAAAAAAAAAATAAGTAAAAAAAAAAATATATATATATATATACACACACACACACATACATATACATACATATATACATATGTATGTATATATATAAAATAACAAAATGAATGCAGAAGCAAATATGAAAATGCTACTCTTCTACTAAACACTGTTAGTTTAGGAAAATATAGTTGTTAAAAAAACTTACGTTAATACCTAATTTTTAAAAAATTTGTTTCAATTGACATTTGGTAAATCAATAAATACAGCCCACAAAAACAAAAGTATCTTGGAATCCTTAATAAATTTGAAGATTTTAAAGACGTTTTGAAATAAATGGTTTGGAAACCACCAGCCTATAAATCTGTATTTATTATTAATATATGCCTTCTTTTTAAGAAGCTCTAAAAATGCTTGCCTAACTATTAGTGACACCTAGTGGTAACTCAAGTTACCAATGAAAGAAAAATTTTATCTTGTCTTTTGAGGAAGCTGTATAATTGAGTGTAAACTCAGAACCCAAACCTTCTCTAGTCTAAATAGTAGGTAGGAATGCTAACTGCAAAAATTATGAATAATAACTTCCATACATACTCAAAGCACTGAATTTCTTTATAAAATTCTGATGAGCACACTTCTAAACAACCATTCCTAAGTAGCTTTTAAAAACAATACATTTAAAGTTGACTTCTGAACTGAAGAATTTTATTATAATTTTATTTATATCTAAATAATCTCTAAGATCAGCTACCATGCAAGGATACTTGTAATGGCAGAAACCATTCCAGACATCAACTTCTACAGTACCCCCAACACCCAATGCATCATCTAAGTTCTGCCAAGATTGCATCTTGAATTTCTCAAATGTGTCCCCTTTTCCTCCATCCCTGTTGTTACAATTTAGGTTCAGACTTTCAATTTATACCTGAACTGTGATGTCTTGTAATTCAAACTGAGATTTTACCATGTTGCTCCCTACTTAAATTCCTCCAAGGACTATCCTTTGCTTATTGGATCCCAAGCTTTTTAGCTTTAGTATGGCATACACAACCTTCCATCAGCCTTTCATCTTTTCCTGCCTACCTTTAACATTATGCTCTAGAAGAGTCAGCAAACTTCTACTGTAAAGGGCAAGATGGTAAATATTTGAGGCCTTAATAGTCATATGCTCTCTGTTACAACTACTCATATCTGCCACTGTAGTGGGAAAGCATCTATATGAAAAATATGTAAATGAATCAGTGTTCCAATAAAACTTTATAATAGGCTGCAGATAAAATTTGGCCCGTTAGCCACAGTTTGCCACCTCTGCTCTATACTACTGAACTGCTTGATGACTAATAAGTTTGATGGCTAATGGAATATGTACTGGTATATTCTTGTGTTTTATTACTATCTTAGGTTTTATTTATAATAAAGTAAATGTTAATATATATAGCCTACATAAATACTCTTTGGTGTCTTCAACAACAGTTTAAGAGTGTACAAGGGTTCTAAGGTAAAAAAATTTGATAACTGCCAATCTATTTCAACCTTTTCATTTTATAAAAGAGAACTAAGGCATAGAGAGGTTACCTACTTTGTCATGGGCAACTGGTTAGCTAGGGGCAGTATTCATTATATAATTGATAAACATGTTCTATATATGGAGGTATATATTATTATGTATATTATTATATATAGTTTCAGAGTTGCTGCTTCCTAGGCTTGTTTTACTCTTTTCTTCTAGCATAAACACAAACTCAGAAATTTACAACTAGAAGACTAGACTATAAATCATCTGACCTAATCCTCATCCTTCCTGAAGAGGTGAGATAACTGGCATTACTAAAGCTAGAGTTCACAAAGGTCTTTCAGTTCACTGCTTTTACTATTTTATAAGGCTGTGTATGTGTGGGCAAACTGTGCTCAGGGAAAGTGAATTTATTTATTTTAAGGAGAAATTGATTAAAAAAATTTTTTTTATTGGGGAACAGCCATGGTCATTGGTTACACATTGCTTTCATGCTACAGTGGCATAGCTGACTCTTTTTAAGGAGATGCAGCTCAACAGTGGCCCATGCGGGGATCGAACCAGCAACCTTGGTATTATCAGCACCACGCTCTAACCAACTGAGCTAACTGGTCACCCCCAGTGAATTTATTTTTATAAAAGTCTAAGCAGTATTAGTCATTTCATGGAGGACTCACCCTCATCGTCACTACTACTAGAATGGATCTCAGGAGATGAGTCAGATTGGGATGATGAAAATTCTTCTTTCCATTTCTTCCGTTTCTTTGGTGGTGGCTCAGCCTTTATTTTTAGCTGTTTACCTTTGGGTTTCATGGAAGGGGCTTTCGCAGTTGTAATTTTTGGTGTTGGGGGATCAGAAGTTTTACTGCTACTACTTGGCTTAGCCTGAACAGTTCTGCAATGTTAGAAAGACTTCATTAGCACACTGAAATCCTGTCAAATTAAATTAAATTAGACCAAAAAAAGCCAAACAAGAAACACTGGAAAAGAAAAGTTTACTTCACCAACACCTCCAAAATAAAGTCCAACTCCTACACATCTCCAATGGTGATTCCTCCCACATTCTCTTGAAATGTACTCTTTAACCACTGACATTCAATATTCAGTTATTAAGGGACTATTAGTTCAATCCTATTTCTCTCTCTTCACTCTTCCTCTCCCTTTATGAACTCATTATCCCAAGTATGAGACTGTACAACAGATGATCAATGGGCTTTGGAAAGTAATGCATGATGAACCCTTGATAGCTACATCTAGCTCTGATCATCAGGAACTCTCACAGATTCTGGTGGTATAGGTTTTGATGTGGAGACCCACCTGCATCTATCCTAGAGCCCCTCAAGAAGATTTGCTACATGCTAGTTCTGGAGATTTGAATGGATCAAATTCCATTATAAAAATAAGGTGGGCTGCTTCCAATAACTTGTAATTTTAATTAAACTAGACCTTCCTAGCACTAGATTGAGAATAACTAGAGTCACACCCCCTTTCCCATACAGATCACAGGGAATATGGCTAGGTCATTCATTCATCTTTCAGATAACTCTGCTCCAGACAAATATATGACCATAATTCTATAATACACTTGCCTAGTAATATACAGGTATTATAGTTTTATCCTTAAAATTTATTTCATTTTAAATTTGACACACCATTATTATTTTCATTTTATGGATAAAAGAGGGGCTTCAGAAAGGTTTTCTTACTCTAGGTCAGAAAAAGCTGGACTTAAATCCCTTTTGACTCTAAATCCCTTTTTTCCCCCCTCACTATTCTTAGGGTCACACCAAAAGGATTCACAGCAAGAAAAGGGTAGTCATCCCACAACAGATAGCCATAAGCTTTACAGTTCTTGCCTCACCATTTCAAAAGGAATCAATTATTACATCAGGCACTGAATTTTTAGACTTGTAGATAATGAAAGTATCAGTCTATAATTGAAGTAATTCTTTGTATAAGACATCATCAATAATAAGCCTTCCAGTTATTCCTACACAGATATATTACATAAAAAAATAAATACCTGATAGTTTGTGAAGGCTTATTTCTTGGCTTTTTGGAACACACTCTGACATACTCCTTTTTGTTTGTGTTTTCGATAAACTTCACATATATCCTTTTGTATTTACTCTTTGCATCTCCAAAATATCCAAGGTACTAAGGAAAAAAACAGTGAATTACATAATTATACATTCTATACATACAATATTACTTTGTTAGCTTGACTATCACATAGCCATCCTTCAAGTTTTTCAAAATGCAGCTCAAGCCAGATGAATTTCACCCTCAATAAAAATGATCCTTGGCTCATTCTTAACTGCAAGCCTATGCATAGAAACAATCTCATTTGGCTAATCATCACGTGCTTATTTACTCAATGCTATTAAACAATTATATAACTATGAAAGAATAACTTCTGTATGTCTTCTGGTAAATCAGGGCATTTGACTGGCAGAATAAGCAACAGAAGAGACTCCGAGTCCATCTGAACTCCTCACGGCCTAGCACTAATTCCTTTCCTTTAGTAAAAAAACAAGATTAAGGGGCAGCCAGTTGACTCGGTTGGTTAGAGCACAATGCTCTTAACACCAAGGTTGCCTGTGTGATCCCCGCATGGGCCACTGAGTTGCGCCCTCCACAACTAGATTGAAACAACTACTTGACTTGAAGCTGATGGGCCCTGGAAAAACACAGTGTTCCCCAATTAAAAAAATAAAACAAGGAGGTTAAGCAATGTAATAAATGATTTAATTTGAAATAGGTGGTATTTATACATTAATTCAAATTTTTTTTTTAAGTAGATAAAAATAATTTCATAAGTACCTGCCAAAGAAGGCCACTAGGCTTCCCTAAATACCACCAGATCTGTGGGGCTGGTACAGAAGCCAAATACATACATTAATTTTATTTTAAAAGTGTACTATTAGAGTGTCATATACAGGCACAGCTAGTTTCGTTGCGCTTTGCTTTATTGCACTTCACAGATGTTGTGGTTTTTACAAATTGAAGGCAAGACCCTCCAACTGCAAAAGATTATGGGCTGGCCGAGTGCCACGTTGGTTAAGAGCTGGCTTGGGACACCAGAGGGCCCAAGTTTGGATCCCACATATGAGGGCCAGTGACACTGCCCTCTACAGCTAAGATGCCAAACAACAGCTCAACCTGGAGCTGGGCTGCGGTGAGTCGCTGGCGATGGCACGGGCTGCAGCCTCTGCTGCAGTGGGTTGCCATGGGCTACTGTGTGTAGCCAGCGGCCAGCAGCCGCTGTGAGCGGCCATCCAGAAGCCGGCGACTGATCTGCCTTGCCTGGGAAGAGCACAATGATGGTGCCAACTTGGGCCAGTGAAGCAACGTCCTCCACAACTAAACTGAAGAAAAAAAGGACAGCAACTTGTCTGTTCCCCTTCCCCCCAATTCCCCAGTGTTGTTCCTATCCCCCAATTCCTCAATTTAAAAAAAAAAAAGATTATGATTTGCTTTAGTTTGGTGGTCTGGAACTGAACCTGTAATACCTCCTATACTCTGTCATTCAAATTTTATACTATTTTATATTATAAATGCTAAATATAAAATATATTTAAATCATTCTATATTGCCTCCAGGATCACTGTTAAAAAACAGGAAGGCTAATGTAAACAAGCATTTTACTTACACTATTTGTAGCAGCAAATTCTCTTTGCCCATCTCGAATTTCAGGAACAAACTTCTGTAATAAAGCTTTTTGTACTTTCCAAATAGCTGGGGGTTCTTTTCCTGTTTTTAAAGCCTCCTGTAATAAGCAGAATTAATTACATTTATAAAAACTAGCAACATATTCTAAATTTAAAAAATCGTAGAGCTGAAAGGAATCTTAAAGACCTATTTATAGCTCAACCTTTTTCTTTTACTTAGCTGAACTTTTGCAATAATTCTTATACGCTGGCTATTCAGTCTCTGCTTAAATTTTTCAGAAATGGAAAACATGCAAAGTAAAGTAGCCCATTACCTGTTTGTATAGCTACTGGAAATTTTTCCTCTAATGACACTGTCATATATTATTCATGCAATTTTATAACAGTATGCACATATTCAAAAAGATCAGAAACACATACTAAAATATTAACAGCAGTTAATTGTGAATAGAAGTAATATAATTTGAATATTATACTTATTGTACTTTTAAATACCATTCCTCTCCACCCCAATTAAAAAATAAAATCAAGACCAAGCAAACAGAGACTCAAAAATAGGTTTTCTTAAACATAGCTAAAATTTTCTTGTATAAAATTAACATTCTAATTATGGTTCTACAATTTAAAATGATCAAAATAAGTTTAATTAGGGCTGGCCGAGTGGCTCAGTTGGTTAAGAGCTTGCCCAAGAATGCGAGCTCTGAGCAACAGGGTTGCCGGTTCGATTCCCACATGAACCAGTGATGCTGCGCAGGGAGCTGAGCTGCTGCTGAGTTGCCAACAGGCAGGATGGCTCAGCTGGTGAGAGCACATGCTCCTAACAAGGCTGCTGGTTTGAATGGTGGGCTATGCCCACTCGCAACTAAAGACTGAACTCTGTACCTAGCTGAGCTGCCGCCTGGGTGGCTCAGGGAATAGAGCACGTGCTCTTAACAATAAGGCTGCCGGTTCATCTCCTGCATGGGATGGTGGCTATGCCCACCAGCAAATAATTGAACACAGCACCTATAGCTGAGTGGCATGACTGGACTTGGAGCTGAGCTAGCTGCGCCCTCCACAGCTAAGACTGAAGGACAACAACATGGCTGTTCCCTTCCCCCAATTCCCCAACACTGCTCCCCTCCCACAATTAAAAAAAAAGTCTAATTATACTTTTACATTATATTTCTGTTATTTTCTTTAAACTTTTAAAATATAGAAACAGCCATTTTCTCCCAGCTCCTAATAATACAATGAGTTGGGAGCCTTCCAAAAAATTAACATTTCAAAACTCCTCTATTCACTAGTACCTAAATGCAACATACTGACTACTCAGAAATACATAAAACTCAGATGTTACTATATTTTAAGGTATTTTGTTTTATACAATATGTGATATCCACTAGTGATTTTATTATTTAACAATTTTAACTTAGAATTGTGAAAATGTAACTTTATGCTGTTCAAGCTAGATGCATGCTATTAAAGTCATCATGAAGGCTATCATCATGCCCTCCCACTAAACTGTGACCTTTATACCTCTGAACATTCACATCACCTTAAAAGTCTCTATGTCTTCCATCTTCACCACAAATTCATCACGCTCTCTGTATTGGCCTTCTCCTCCGCTTTCTATGTTCTCCTCATCTGTAAAACCTTCTATGGCAATAGTGTCCTGTCCTTTTGCAGATTGGTCTGAAGGAAAGCCATCAAGTTCAATGGGCTTTGGGGGTTCTGTAGAACTTAGGTTTTCCAGGATATTTACTGCAGATGAAGTAGAGCAGAGAGGTTCTTGCTTAACTGCACCACCCACAGTGGTGGAGGAAGTAGTAGCAGTACCAGTAGTATTGGCAGTTGGGCTAGGAGTTGCCACCTGTAGGGCTTCTGAAACTAGATCAAGCAAATGCAAATCAATAATACAAATAATTAAACATTTACTTGTTTTGAGTAAAATCCAAACAGTTTCAAAAGGAAGACGATTATCTTGCCATCAAATTGTTTGAAACAATGAAATCTAAAGTTGTTAATGGTGGTTAATTTCCAAGAATCAAAGTGGTGAGAATTAGACAGAACCTCCATCGACCTACACTGCTTCTAAGTACACTTAAGTAGCACAAAGATATTTTAAATAGAGACACAAAAGTGATGCAAGATAAGGAAGGGTCAGCTGACTAGAGTTATGAAGAATTCCTAAAAGAAAAAAAGCCTAAAGGAAAATGACACCCCCAAAGTATTTTGAAACAGCACCAGAAGCTACAGAAATAAAAAGGATTATAAATAATATGAAAAATTGTATGCTAAAAAATAACTTAGATGAAATGGACAAATTTCCTTGGAAGACACCACAAACTACTGAAAAGGACTCAAGGAGAAATAGAATATCTAAATAGACCAATAAGTGACGAGAATAAAAGAAATTTAAAAACATCCCACAAAGATAAGCACAGGCCTAAATGGGTTCACAGGTGGGTTCTATCAACAGCATAGTAAGGATTAATATCAATCCATCATAAACTCCAGTAAGTAGAAGGAAACACTTCCCACCTCATCTTATGTGGCCCCTATTATTTCAATACCTAAAGCAGAAAAAAATCATGAAAAAACTATAGACCGGTATCCTTTATGAATATAAACACAAAAATCTTCAACAAAATATGAAAATACACCAACATATAAAAAGAATTATACATCATGATCCAAGTGGGTTTTATCCTAGGAATCCATGCCGGTTAACATCTGAAAATCAATCACTCATCATATTACTATAACAAAGGAAAAAAACACAGGGTCATTTTAATGGTGCAGAATAAGCATTTGGCAAAATTCAGTATCATGAATTTAAAGACTTTCATGATAAAAAACACTCAACAACCTAAAAATAGAAGGGAACTTCTTTAGCCTGATAAAGTGCATCTATCTATAGAAAACCCACAGCTAATATCATACTTAATAGTAAAAACACTAGATGCTTCCCCTTAAGAAAGATGTCTAAAGAAATAAAAGTACAGGCATACCTCATTTTATTGTTCTTTGCTGTAGTGAGCTTCCCAGATAATATGTTTTTATAAATTGAAGGTTTGTGGCAACCCTGGGTTGAGCAAATCTATTGGCACCATTTTTCCAATAGTTGCTCTCTTCATGTCTGTGTTACATTTTGGTAATTCTCTCAATATTTCAAACTTTTTCATTATTATAATATTTGTTATGGGGATCTGTGATCAGTTATCTTTGATGTTACTACTGTAACTGGGGGCACCATGGCCTGTCCCCATTAGACAGCCAACTTAATAAATGTTTCTGTTCTGACTTCACCGCTGATGGGCCATTCCCCTCTTCTTCTCCCTCCCCCTCTCTTTGAACCCTCCTATTCCCAAGACACAGCAATATTGAAATTAGGCCAACTAATAACGCTCCAATGGCCTCACGTGTTCTAGTGAAAGTACGAGTAGCACATCTCTCACTTTAAGTCAAAAGCGAGAAATGACTACACTTATGAGGAAGGCAAGTCAAAAGCCTACACAGGCCGAAAGCTAGGCCTCATGCCAAGTAGTTAGCCAAGCTGTGAGTGCAAAAAGAAAAGTTCTTGAAGGAAATTAAAAGTGCTACTCCAGTAAACATATGTATGATCAGAAAGTGAAAAAGCCTTATTGCTGGTAGGAAGAAAGTTTTAGTGTTTTGGATAGAAGATCATACCATCCACAACATTCCCTGAAGCCAAAATCTAATCCAGAACAAGGTCCTACCTCTCCTCAATTCTGTAAAGGCTGAGAGAGGTGAGGAAGCTGCACAAGAAAAGCTTGAAGCTGGCAGATGTTGGCTTGTGAGGTTTAAGGAAAGAAGCTGTCTCCATAAGAAAAGTGCAGGGTGAAGCAGCAAGTGCTGATGTACAAGCTGCAGCAAGTTCTCCAGAAGATCTAGCTAAGATAATTAATGAAGGTGGCTACGCTAAACAACAGATTTTCAAGAGATAAAACAGTCTTTTATGAGAAGAAGATGCCATCACGGACTTCCATAACTGGAGAGAAGTCAATGCCTGGCTACGAATATTCAAAGGACAGGCTGACTCTCTTGCTGGGGCTAATGCAGCTGGTGAGCTTAAGTTGAAGCTAATATTCATTTACCATTCTGAAAAATCCTAGGGCCCTCAGGAATGATGTTAAATCTACTCTGCCTGTGCTCTATAAATGGAACAATAAAAGCTGGATGACATCTGTTTACAACATGGTTACTGAATATTTTAAGCTTACTATTGAGACCTACAGCTCAGAAAAAAAAAAAGATTCCTTTGAAAACATTACTGCCCAATGACAATATACTTTGGTCACCCAAGAGCTCTGATGGAGAAGTACAAGATTAATGTTTTCATGCCTACAAACATAACATCCATTCTGCAGCCCATAGGTCAAGGAGTAATTCTGACTTTCAGTCTTATTATTTAAGAAATAACATTTCATAAGGCTATAGCTGCCAAAGATAGTGATTCCTCTGGTGGGTCCAGGCAAAGTAAATTAAAAACCTTCTGGAAAAATTCGCTATTCTAGATGCCCTTAAGAACATTAATGATTCGTGGGAAGAGGTCAAACTACCAACATTAACAGGAGTTTGGAAAAAGTTGATTACAACACTCATGACTTTGAGGAGTTAGTCTTCAGTGGAGGAAGTAATTGCAGTTGTGGTAGAAGCAGCAAGAGGACTCAAATTAGAAGTGGAGCCTGAAGATGTAACTGAATTGCTGCAATCTCATGATAAAACTAACAATGAGGAGCGGCTCCTTACAGATGAGCAAAAAAAAAAAAAAAAAATTTTTCTTGAGATGGAACATACTCCTGGTGAAGATTACAGAAATGACAATAAAGGATCTAGAGTATTATATAAACTTAGTTGATAAGGCAGTGACAAGGTTTGAGAAGACTGACTCCAATTTTGGAAGAAGTTCTACTGTGGATAAATTGCTATCAAACAGGATCGCATGATATAGAGAAATCATTTGTGAAAGGAAGAGTCAATCAATGGGGCATTTTTTAGCAATACATTTTAATTAAGGGATATACATTGTTTTTTTCAGACTAATGCTATTGCACACTTAATAGACTACACTATAGTATAAACATAACTTTTACACGCAGTGAGAAACCAAAAACTGCACGCGACTCACATTATTGTGAAATTCATTTTACTGTGGTGGTATGGAACTGAACCTGCAATATCTCTGAAAGATGCGTGGATCTCTATTTGCACGTGACTTGATCTTGTATATAGAAAATCCACCAAAAAACCATGAGAACTAATAAATAAGTTCAGCAAGTTTGCAGGGTACAAGATCAGTATAAAAAAAATCAATTGTATTTCTATATACTTGTAATGAACTATCCAAAAATGAATTTAGGAACATAATTCCATTTATAATAATATCAAAAAGAAGAAAATACTTAGGAATAAATTTAACAAAAGTGCAAAGTTTACACTCTGAAAACTGTAGATATTGTTGAAAGAATAAAGGTCTAAATAAATGGAAAAACATCACATGTTCATGGATCGGAAGACTCAACACTGTAAAGATGGCAATACTCCCAAATTGATCTATAGCATCAGCACAATCCCTGTCAAATCCTAGCTGCATTTTTTTTGGCAGAAATTGACAAACTGATCCTAAAATTCAAAGAAAATGCAAGAGACCCAGAATAGCCAAAATAATTAAAGAACAAAGTTAGAAGATTCATATTTCTGAAATTTCAAAACTTACTACAAAGCTACAGTAGTTAAGCTACAGTAGTTAAGACAGTGTGACAGTGGTATAAGGGCAGACATATAGATCAACAGAGTAAAATGAAAAGTTCAGAAATAAACTTATATTTATGGGCAAATAATTTTCACTAAAGGTGCCAGAAACCATTGAATGGGGGAAAGAATGAATAGTCTTTTCACAACTGGTGCTCAGACAACTGGAAAGCTGCATACAAAAGAATGTAGTTGGATCCCTACTTTATAATAAATATAAAAATGAACTGGAAATGGATCAGAGACCTAAATGTGAAAGCTGAAAGTATAAAACTCTCAGAGGAAACACAGGTATAAATCTTTATGACCTTATAAGTGACAAAAGAAAAATTTAACTGGACTTCATCAGAATTTAAAACTTGTGCTGCAATTGATGCCATTGAGAAAGTGAAAAGATAACGCACAGAATGGGAAACAATGTTTAAAAATCATATACTTACCAGAGGTTTGGATCCAGGATATGTAAAGAACTCTTTTACTTTAATAATAAAAAGACAGATAACCCAATTAAAAAAATTATCAAGGGATTTGAATAGACATTTGTCCAAAGATATAAAAACTGTCAACATGCACATGAAAGGCTGTTCAACCTCATTAGATCAATACAACTTCATTAGATAAATGCAATCTCATACCTACTAGGATGGCTATAATTAAAAATACAGACAATAATGTGTTAGCTGACATGTGGAGAAACTGGAACCCTTATTCATTGCTGGAGGGAATGTAAAGTGATATGGCCACTTTGGAAAACAGTATGGCCATTCCTCAAAATGTTAAGCACGGAGTTATTGCATGACCAAGGAAGTCCACTCTCACTACCACTTTCTAGAGAAATAAATAACCTCTACACAAATATTTGTACATGAATGTTCATAGCAGCATTATTCACAATAGCCAAAAAGTGGAAAAAGCTCCAAATGTCCACTAACTGATGAATGGATACACAAAATGTGGTATATCCACATTAGGAAACAGAAAAGAAT